TGATCCCCATATAAAGGAGCAAGGAAGAAAGTGTCCTGACCAACTCGTAATTATTTTCCTCTGCATTAGAGTCAATGACGTTTTCCTAAATTTGTGGCATGACTGAGAAGTTCTTTCAGTAGAAACAAGACCCTTGTGTCTCCCAGCCAATAGGAAAGGAGAGACGTTTTTAAAAACTGGAACCCTTCCTAGCAGATACCTTAGCTCTTTGATTGGCAAAATGGCGTTTCTTTGGCTTGATAGTTTTGGATTACCATGGAACGGTGGGGTGCCTGACAGCCGCCAAGAAGTGCATGTGCAGTGGTGGACGGTGACATTTTCAGTTCCTTTTAAGTTATATGTCCCAATATTGGTAGAAAATAAGGACAAAATCCTATTTTATTTGGCTTTGAGATTTTTAAACTACTTAGTAGTGTGGGTGTTCAAGACATCCTTGGAATCTATAATAATCAAACTGCAAGGAAGCCACACTGAAATCATATCGAATGCCCATGTCCATGTGACATGAACATACTTCTCAGGATACTATTTGGAAGCCACAGGAAATATGTGCAGCTGAATATGTTCTTTTAAATTCAATGTGCTTTCTTTCTAGGAACTTGAAGTTCTCTTTTGTATATTATTTAAAATACCACTTTGAGCTTATAGGCATGAAAAATATAATTTCTTTCCCATTTCACAGTTGGAAAAACTGAATTAGAGAGAAAAATGCTAGTAATTATCCATAATTAATAGAGGTATGTATGTAAATCCATCTGAATAACTGTGTAAAATTAGATGTGCTGATGCCAGATAGCTCTGTTCCTGTATTTTTAAAAGAAGAACATTTTCATGTGACTCTGCATGAGTCAAACACAAGAATGCATAAGAATGTACTGTGTAAAAATGTACAGCTATTAAAATGACTATTGTGTATATGTATTATAATACATAAAACAAATTAGGTGAATGATTAAAATTTGTTAGATAGATGCATATCTATTTAGCATTATCCATGCATTCATAACAGTGATTTGTAAAGCACTATATATATTTATATATGTGCCTAGGCGCAGCATGTAGTGGGCTGAAATTTGGGTGTACTTTGATGATTGCAAGGAGTGGGAGGAAGTGAAGTCAATTTCTTAAGGTTGTGAGGATTGATTAATACCTACAAAAGACTTCAGAACTTTATTGATAAATGAGAAATCCACCAAGTATGTTAACTATTGTTGTTTAAGAATTATTGTTATTAATATTACCATTGCTGGGCAAGATGAGATGACTGTGATATTAGGAAGCTTAAAAGAAGCATTTTCTACTTGATTTCCAGTATGATATCCTCAGACAATCAATCAAAGTGTGAGGATTCCCCAGTGATCTCTATAGCACGGATTCCGCTCAGAGTTTTTCTCCCCCTTTCCCTCATTATTCTGGATCCTAGTTGCAAGAACCAGTTCCTGGAAGAGCCAGGTTGGGAGGAGGGCTACTGCGCACAGCCCCCTAGATAGTGTCTGGCTGTTCAGATGCCAGGCCTGCCTGTAAGAACACCTGCCTCCCTCTGTGAGAAAACAAACCTGGTTTGTTTGCGGGTTGGATTGTAATTTTTTTAAACTTTAATTTGGGGGGGTGTTGTTTTGTTTTCAGAGAGAGCTTTAGACAGCTGTATTAATCATGCCAACCCAGCCATGTGCAATGCATTTTATCAATGGAAAAACAGGGACTGAATGGCAAGCAGCTGTGAACAAACCCAGGGCAATGCCTGAACCTGGAAGATAATCTCAACGCTTCCCAGACCCACTTGCCACATGGGGTTAGTGATTGGAAAGGCTGTTCACTTGGGATAAATAATCAGATGGGAAACAAACAAGTGAGATGCATTCCAGCTCTTCTTCTAAGCAGTGATCAGAGAAGGATGGGCTGATAGGACCCGAGCACAACAGGCTCAAGGGAAATTTTGCTCACAAGCTGTAAAAATAAAACAATAGTGGGGTGTCCTTGACCTTTCCCTTCATGCACTTGATTTTAACTTTCTCAGGCTGATTTCATTGCCTCATATAGAACCTGTGTTCCTTCTCAGTGAGAGTGTATCCACTCTTTTCCAGTAAGAGACACGGTTATGCACAAGTCAATTCAAGGGAAACATCACGTCACCTCTGCCCAGATTCACTGAGGCTCTGGGAAATGATCTGAGTCAAAGTGAGAAAAGTTCCCTCAGATATTTAGAGCTGACTCTTTTCTCATTTTGCAATTCAGTGGGTATTCTGCAGTAATACAGTCAGAGGTATTTATGCAAATATATGCAATTCAGGACTAACTTCAGAATAAGTAAGTCTAAATTAAAATTAATGATTAAAAACACTTATCAGAAACAGATCAAGGAAGGGACACTACTTCTCCATATGTATATGTGTGTGTGCGTATATATGTATATATATCTATGCATATACATATATTTTTAAGCTAGGGAGCAGGGAACCACATTCTTTTGTTGTTTTGTTTTGTGTTTGGCACAGGGGAAAGGGTACTGGAAATTCTCAAATTGGCCACAGCCAATAAGCATTACCATTTGGTAAGAGTCCAGCTCTATGATTATCATAGCAGACTTGGCAGTGTGTTCCCAGATGGCCTGAGGGCCGTGGGGTTGCAAAAGGGGACGAGAGGTGCAATCCTCCATCAGGAGGTGCTAGCAATGAAGCAATGGAAATGAATGTCTTTCTGCTATGTTAAAGCTAGGGGAGGAAGTTCTTTCTATTCTGGGAGGGCAGAAAGGGGACTTTGTGACTTTGTTCAAGTTTCAAAACAGGGATACGTTGGTTTAAAATATTTCAGTTCAATTATATCAAACAACTATTTAGAGACATGGTTTATACATTGGTGATGAACTTTAAGATTGTAAATAGATGATGACTATATATAATAGTTAATTAAATAAAAAAAAATCTTGCACTATAGTTGTGACCACAGCCATGCTCTTCCTACATATTTGGGGTACTGAATTGGAAATCTAAAGGATTAGGCATTCTGTTGTAATCTTTTCCTTCCATGGGAAAGTGCATTTCCCCTGGGAGGCCCTCTTGATTGGAAAAAGGAGAATTTGATTGGATCCCTAGGAAGGTGGTGTCCCTGTGCAGAAAGGGAATTTAAGAGGGAACTGGCTTTCTCCAGGGACCTCTCACACTAGCTACCACAGGTCTCCATGAACAGCTTTTCAATCTCTAGCAGAAGGCCAAAGTATTAGTAGTAACAGACTATAGTCTCTAAAACTATCTAAGGAAGCTAACTACAATCTACAAACAACATAAAATCCAACTAGGGTCATTCTCCAATCAGCAATTCCGTGTGTTGGGAACGAAGCTCAGCACAATCCCACATGCTCTGTGCTTGGATGAGACTGTTTCAGCTTTCAATAGCCGTCCTTTGTGAACAGTGTCTGCCTTCACTTTGTTCAGTGTTCCATATACCATAACACATGGTCAGATAAATATTTGAGTTTGTGGCTGCAGAAATGCGGTCACAAAAGACACTCAGAATCACCTGATATTGTGCAAAGCTCATCTTGGATAGGATATGACCTCTCTGCAAATGGGATGCACTGGGACAGCTGTGTGATGAGTGTGTGTGTGTGTGTGTGTGTGTGTGTGTGTGTGTGTTTCATATCAAGATATTGTAGAATGGCAACACGATAAAATGGTGTCAATCTCTGTGGCAACACTGGAAGCTAAATGTCTTAAAATAATTGTGGCATGTCAGGAATTCAGGATGAAATATTTTCTCCGAACACTAAGCTTCATGTCAAGTCTGAAAACCAGGCACATTTTAACAGTGTTATTTTTAGTGGCCAGGGTAAGAAACAGATTTCGTTAATGCTTTAGAGAAGTTTTCTTATTCAACAGAGCTCTAAGATTTTACTAAAATAGTCTAGACTATTCTCAAAAGTTGTTAAGCTGCCTTAATAATTCTGGAATCATGTACTACTCATTGCAAATATAATTAAAATAAGTTTGTATATATATATGAATGCATATATATGTGTAACATGGCATTATTGACATTCTGAAAACCTACACCCAATTTTTGCTCTACGTTTTTAGCTTGGGCAAGTGTTAATGAAGCATGATTCATCTTCCAACTTATGAAATAGCAGGTTTCTTCTTTAATTCTAAGCACGTTTTCTTTATAGTGTATGATAATCTTATTTAATTAGATTTATTTTTCTATACAAGGCCCCACATGGCTTAGTTTTCATTTTTGCTCATGTCTTTGAGAACTGTTTGCAAATCACTCTTCTGGAATTTAATTTCAATGGCAGGTTGGTTTCATTTCAATTTTTTATTATTTTAATTTTATTTGCCAATTTGTCTTTATATATCCTTAAGCTAGAAAGTTGTGGCTGCAACTTGCATCTAAATGTGATGTTGTAGGCGAAATTTAATTTACATATGTAGAAATTTTTATGAAAAGGAATACAGAATGAGGAGTGTTTAAAATTTTATTTGTGTTTTCTAAAGTATGTATGCTTAAACACATAAGTTAGCCCAAAGTTTATGGAAAAGGAGCATTCCAATTGTAACTGTATTGAACTTAATCTTTGGAAAAACACATTCTCACAAGTGATACCAGTGACTTTAAAGTTAGATCATGCAAAGCCACACATTTGTGGGTGGTCAGTGGGAACTTACTTGCATTTTGTGGGCTACAGAAGTACACCACATAAGCAGCTGTATTCCAAATACCCGAGGGCATAGTTACCTATAACAAATACTGATTGAGAAACACATTGCTGTCTGACTAGCTACTGACGGACTTGAAGGCAGTTCAGGAAGTACACCAATTTATTACCTGCCCATCATTTAGTTTGGGGAGTACCAGACTAACTTTCTTTTGAATGTTTATGAGGCAAGAAATAACTTCTATTAAATGTGAATTTTGTGAGTGTATTTTCTTCTTTTGTATGTTTTGCACATTGTATGTTGGAGAATGACCCAGGACAAAGCTACAGTGATAAAAGTCATACTGACCTTGAATGGGGTGGGGGACTGTGGGTAAAACACGCTCTAAAGGGGAAAAATGGTAGACATCATGGAGAGTTTAAATACATATATATCTTTCTCAAGGTTAATTTCTCAAACAGTTATAAAACAGAAAGATTTCCATGCCTATACAGTCATATTTTCCATAAGGTGTTTATTTGCTCTTTCCGTTAAAGTATCAAACAGAGATATTAGTGAAATTAAAAATATGAAACCTTTTTTCAAAGTTTAGCAGAAATAGGTAGCCAACATCAAATCTAGTAACCCTCTATATAGGACCCTATCCTCTGCTGGAAAATACAGTATCAAGGATATATATCCTTTCTTGGTCCTGGTCTTGTCTCTTTGTCTCATGGCAGATGGACCTATGGCAGCTTCCTCTCCCTCCCCCCTACAGCTCATATCTGCTTTAGCCAAGCATCTGGGATATTTATTTTGAGAAACACTAATTTAGCTTTTCTCTTGGGGTTTTATTTCCATTTTAGTTATGCAGGTGCAAGAGTAGTGTCCTGGTAATACGCTTCTTAGAATGATATAATTTTATTTGTAGTTCATGCCTTAATCCCACCCTCTTTCTATACTATAATCTCATCTGAAATTTGATTAATCAACCAAACTTTCTTAGTGTTACATCCTATTCAATAATAACAAGTACTTTCCATTGGAACACTGGGGTCTTGAGCTTATCAGTCACTCACGGTCCCATACCTGGACTTCTGCCAGTAAACTAAATGTACTGATGGAATTTGGACTTTAGAGTATCCTCTATATTTCTCATTAATATCATAGGCTTGACTCCAAATCTTTTCTGATGCTCTTTCTCAGGTAGAATGATGTAGTAGGGACAGGATATGCTACTTGCTACTCCTGAACACTGTAGTGTTTTTAACTGAATAGTACATACTACACTGAACATAATTAGCACCCCTTTCTACATTCTTTGTGGAAGTTCATTTAGATAATGACCAATGTCCAATGAAAATCAACCAAAGCAAACCGTGAAGAGATAAGCATATTCTGTTTTAATCTGCCTGTCATCTTGTACCATAAGCTCAGGAAGAATAGATTTTTCCTGTTCTTCAGGTCCTCCACACATCTGGCCATTGAGAAAATCCAAGGAAACTTCACATCCTACCCCCTAGCTTGGCTGAGCATTGTGGGTTAAATGTGAAAGCTTCCTAAGTGCATTAAAGATGGAGCAGGTCAGTAATAGCCCAGTGAACAATCGTGTCTTAGTTACACAAGTGTCAAGTAGAAAAACGATTTGAAACTTCACTTGGCATTAAGTTTCCAGCTTTGAAAATAAATAGCTGAAACTGCTTTCAGCATTTATGCAGCAGCTGGAGACACTATCATGCCATCCTCTTTCTATTGTATTTTATTTTTATTATTACTATTATTATTCAGAATGTTTAAATGACTCAGCTTAATATTTTCTCATCACACTGTTCACAGCTGGGTAAATGCACTCTGCCCTGATTTCCCCAAGAGCATTTATATTGCTAAACCATCTCACCCTCTCTCTTCATTGCTTTTCAGCTGCTTCCCAGCTTCTGATTACCATCTTAGCCCACCCTGTTATCATCATTTTAGACTTAGCACGCCCCATTAGTTAGTCTTTTTCTCCTAATTCTATCATTCTGGCTTATCCATCCTTGGGTACTTTCTCATCCCTGCTTTTTATCTTTATTCTTCCCACCACTGTCCTTCTGTTTTATAGTTTATGGGCTACAGAGTTATGCCAGAATTTATGAGTTCCCGTAAGAGTGAAGTATAAAGTAGAAAATAAACTTTCAATATTTTTATTTTCAAAAGTAGGAGAGGGCAGAAACTTTGGGGCTTTTTGTCTCCATTGACTGTGGACACTTGAAGGCAAAAGAGTTCAGCAGCTGAATGGGAGGTGTTAGGGTCAGACTCCATGACTGGGCCTGGAATTATGTTCTATGTCTTTCAGAAAGTCCTTTAGCAATGAGTTTTGGTTTCCTCTTGTCTAAATAGGTGGTAGTTTGGGGTACATGCATCAAATGCATATTATTGGTCGACTCTGCTAGATAGAATGAGGGAGAAAGAAAAAAGGAAGTTAATGCTTCACAAGGAAACACTTTGAATTTATTGCACCTGAAAGACAAAAGCTGGGGTTGAGGGAAGGTGTTTATACAATGGTAATTTACTACTCAGATACAATTTTCTTTTATTTTCTAATGAATATTGAATAGATCTTTCTGGAACTCAACCCATTTGCACCTATTCTTGAAATAAAAAGTAGTTCAAGTGCCCACTTGCTTTATTTTGTATCCATGAGCACCCTTTGAAGGAGTTAAACTACATAGGCTTAGCACACAATAGCAGCCTGTTTTATAATGAGGCGTCTACAAGAATCTGGTTAAGAATTCTGCTGAGTCTTAATTGCCAACTCCAAATGGTGCACGTTTAACACTGAACTCCTAAAATAATAATAGAATGGTTTCTAAAGAATAAGGGGAGACCATCGTTATAAAGAACTCACTGTAGTTATAAGTTGCTTGGGTAGTATTTAAACACTAGTCAATTATAAGTTGATGTCTTTTAAAATGAAAAAGGAAAATGAGAAAAATACCTCCTACGTACTGAAATGCCATGGTCCAGTTAGATTCCTTTGTACCTTTATTCTTTCATACTCAATAGTCCCAAATACCTTACTAATCCATGTGTTTCTCTAAAATTCAATGGAGTTGATCAATAGGAGCCTCCTTTAACATGTGGGAACAAGATACTACCCTGGAATATTAGCTGAGAATCTCAGCAAGCCAAAGATAGCTCCCCAGTCTAGGACTCTAGTGACCCCAGGCTCTTGGGAGTTAAGGGCAATGCAGTGGGAGGTGGAGAAACAGTGCTCTTCATTGTGAAGAATCAGAACAGTGGTGAGCCAGGAGAAAGGCTTCACTAAGAGAAAAGAAAGAATTTATATGTCTCCTCCTTTCCACACTGCAAGATGTAGCTCCTAACATTTTTCTCTACATATATAATGTATTAGTCTAGAAACTGGATTCTGAAAACATCGGACTCAAATTTAAATCTCAACTTCAGTTTATATATGACTTGGTTCCACTAATTTCACAACCTTGATAGAGAATTGTGTGAACATAGTGAGATCGTCATGCTGATTAAATGACGTGTGTGAAACACTATCAGCACTTACTTGAGAAGAATTATTAACATCCAAGTCATTGATTGTCATTAGTTTTACTCCCTATCCGTCCCACTAACAGTACCTGAAGACAAACACTGAGTCAAGAGAAACTCATCATCTTGTGGGTGAAGTAGCTATCACGGTGAGAACACTGAAACTATTATGTTCCATGTGTAGACAATGGAACTTCTAGTGACATCAAGAAATTCAGATCTTCCTTTACATCATGCACGTTGCCCCTTCTGACAGACTAAGGAGATGAATCTCTGTCCATGAACACCGTGCTACTGGATTCACACATTAAGAAAAATGTGTAATATACCACTTAGTTCAGGGATGAGAAAAGATATAAAAGGAATTATTTGAATAAATGCACTGAAGTAGTCTTTGACAGAGTGTTAGGATGTGTGAAGAACAAGACAAATGAGAAAGAAATGCTTCTGGCTTAGGAAGAAATTATTATTGGTGCAATGTGTTCTTGCATTCCCATTCAATTATTCTGACCCCTCTGAGGATCAATATTTGAATAAACAGTGGAGAAATATGTGTTTGCATGATGCTGAGAACAACGGATGGCAAATTGACATTGCAAAAAATCCACGTCACTGCAGTACACAGGGCTGGATGAATAATCATGAACTCGGGGGCTCTGGCTCTGGGTCCCTACCTGCTGCTGCCTCTGGCTGGCACCAGCTCACCAGCTGCTGCATCTACTCTGGCCTAGCTTGGTCAGCAGAGCACCCCGCTGCCCACACAGTGCTTCTGTCAGAGCCTCTAGCTGCAGAAAAGCCTCCTGACACCGGAGGGCAGAAAAACACTACTACAGCCTGTAAGTGGGGCCCCATTCTTTTCTTTAATCCCTTTTACTTTGAATGTAAGTGATGGGGAAATCTACTCACACCTGAAATTTGTTTCGTTCTTTCCTTCCTCTCTCTCCTTTTATCCTGCCTCACTCCATCCTTTCCTTGGCCTCTTCCTCTCTCTCATTTTCTTCCTTCATTAATTATTTGGCCTTGTGCAAACTGTACCACTGTAAAGCCCCATACTCACAGTTCTAGCTATGCATATTGTTAACAACATAACTCCTGAACCTACCTGGTGGAATTGGGGTGGGCAGGGAGGCATGCTGTTCTTATTGCCAAAGAAACAGAACTTCCCTTTTAATGTGCTCATAATTGGGTTTTGGGTCTAAGATACAGGGTGGTTCAGGTTTTCTGCAATTTCAATAGACACTTTCACCTCAAAGCCTAATGATCTTTCTTACAGTCTTCCACAGTAGGTAGACCATCTCTTAACTTTGTCATAATGTGAGAATGCAATCCCAATCCCAAAGTGGAGGCATGTGCTGTATATGTATGCAGCTAAATCCAAACCCAGTGCCCATGCAGGATGCAGTGGATAGGACAGTGTAGGACCATTGGGAAGAAAGCCTACCGTCAATCTCTGCACCATATTCCTCGAACACATAACTGAGGATAACTTCCCCCAAATCATGAAGACCATTATGATTATGAGGTACTCAGCCATTTACCTGATTCTCAGTATACAAACAGAAATTCTCCAAGATTCCTGATATTTCACTGGGTTAAGTACTCTCATGGATTTTTGTGACAGGGTGGTACCACCGTAGGGCTTGAGAGTCCCTTTCACCAACAGCCCAAGGGTCTCCATCATCTCTGAACCAGCCCTTCCTCTGCCTCTCTTGGCTGTACATTGTCCATCCCCTTTTCTTTCCCTTCCTCAGTCTAAAGGTAATGTCTATAGTTATTTAAACTATATAATTAGCATTCATTTCCTGGGGGTAGGAAGAAAATAGAATTTAATAATGTATAACTGTTCACTTTTTCTAACTAATCTAGTTGTTTCATTTTCTACTTTCCTATCTGTGTAAAAACCTTTTTGTTAAGTGTATGCTGTTCTATCTAAGCAGGTCCCCTTAGGTTTGTCAGAATCTCAAATTCATAGTTGAGACTGGGGTTTACCTATGCCTTCAGAATCCCTCATATCAGAAAGGAATAGGATAACTGCCTTTCTTAAGATGTAGTACCCTAAGTGTCTTGTGGATATTGATATCTCCAGTTGGAGCAAAGAATGCATATGTTTGGTTTTTTGAGACAAGTAAATAGTTAGGATATGAATTTTAAACTTCACATTGGTGTGGAACTTGTGTATCAACTATCACAGCCTGAAGTCAATGAGAGTTAGGAATGAGAAGCTAAAGGCCAAACAGGGTGGTTTGTGGTTGTTTTTCACAGTGGTGTTAGATCTCAGATCTCAGTGGTTTTCAAATAGCTTTAACGCTCACCTTTCAAAAGAATGCTCATTTAAACTGATTTTTTTTCTTCTAAGAATCTTTTTTCTTGAAGGTTCATCTAAACTGAACACAACAAGATGAAGATATCTTTGTTGGATATAGTATTTTACCCAATTGACTATGATAGAGGAAAACAAAACAAAACAAAAAAAAATCTTTTGGAGGTTTGTTATTCCAAAATAATTATTAGATTTTTCTTGACTTTTAATTTAATCTATGTTACCTCTGTGGCTGAGCAGGTTCTAATCATTTTGTTTTACATATTCTGGTAAATAAATAGTCCCTCTTCCAAGTGTTATCATGTTGCCATGATCCATTTATTATCCTTCTGTCTCTCAGGGACATTTAAACCTGTAATTGTAGCTATCTGATCAACAAGTCTGGGGAGTCGGAAACCTGACTGTAGCAGGGTGCTGATGAGCAGGACTCCAATGAGGGGGCTCCGAACATCAGAGCCTTTGAAATGGCTGACCCCTTCTCAGCCAGTGTTCAAGGTCTTCTCTGATCTTCAGAAATGCTCCTTTTCCCTTTCTGTCATTTCTGTTGCAAAAGATGTGTCAGGAAAGGATGTGTCTTTTGTTGTTATATGGAAACCTTTCTGTAGCCTTTTTTCTTCAATTTTTATATCATGTTTTAATCATCCATTCTACCCTTCCTCTTGTATTATAAAAACAATTTCTTTTTCCAGCCTCTCCTTCTCCCAGAACTACATATACTCACACAGAATATTATTTTCCTTAATCACTCTTATTACTGGAACTTTCTAACAGCTATCCATTTCCTTGCTCTTATTTCACCTCAGCTTCTTAAACAGGCCACCGCCAAGGAAATACATGTTTTCAGAATATTCTTACAGAAAACCAATCAGGAAAAAGAAAAGAAACTAAGCAACCAAAATGAAAAACTGGACAGTTATCAAAAGCAAGCAAATTCAGAGACCAGTTCTTGCATCTGTAAATCTTGCCCTGCAAATACATTGAGAGCATTTTGCTTTGGTTTCTGGGGGCATATTCTTATTTTTGTATAAGTTTACCTTTCAGAGGTTGGGATATGATTTTCAAGTGAATATGAGGGAACTCTGTCATCTATACTGAGTCAGGTCCTGCTTTGGCATACTTACTGAAAAGGACTAGGCTGGCATTGGTGACACCCAGCTTGTTGGCAGCCACACAGGTGTAGTTGCCGTAGTGCTCCTCAGTGACATTGGTCACCGTCAGGGAGGACTGGCCCTCTGTGCTCTTAATCTCAAGACCATTGGCACTGTTTATCCTAAGAATTCAAATAGAAGAGTTAAGAGGAATACTGATGAAAGTTTTAGCTTAGTGATCTCATCCCATCTTTACATTAGAGTTAAATAAGAGAGAGAAAATAGTTTGTTATTCTCCCCTCAATAACTCATCATAATCCTGTAATTTATATTATCAGAACCAAAGTCCATCCACAGAGAAGATTCAGCACGAGTTCCATTAGGTCTGAGTATCTGATGCATGCAAGAAAAATATACAGGCACAAACTATCAATAGCCACATTTTTCACATTTATAATTTACCTGAAGGCTTTTGGGTTCAGCTTAAGATTTACAGTCCCCAAATGACTTGATAAAGAGATAGGGAAAATGAAGAGCTAAAGAGCATAGGCCTGCATATTGCAGCTGAATGTGCTCTTTTCATTGGATTTTGGGGGACTTTGAGATCATGACTAGGAAACTGGGGCATGGTGGGTGGGGACACATACCTGGTGTCATCCCGGTACCACTCAAAGTCAGGTGCTGGCACTGCCGAGGCCTCGCATTTGAGTGAAGCTTGTCGTCCTGTGGTGGCTTCGTTGCTCTTGGACTCCGTGATAGTTGGAGGATCTGTGGTGAGGATAGGCACACGGGTATATTTTATGTGAGAGGCAAAGGATGCTCCAGAAACAAAGAGGCTGCAGATGGAGTATCCTAGGAAAGATGGACACAGCAGCCCTATGCAAGAGGCAGAGGAGGTGCCAGAATTTCAACCCAGGATGGCATTGGGAAAGGCATCTGATTGGAGGGGCAGGAAAAGGATTTGTGAAAACCCCACTGGTATGACTCACAGGATCAGGTAACTGTGGATGATCATTGTGATGCTAAACTACTAATGAAATGTAGATATGACTTACCCAAAGAAACAATAGGGTTTTATGGAAACAAAAAACAAAATCCAAGGTCTCTTTTTCTCTCCTCAATTATTTCAATGGTAATATTTGAAATTTCTTTTCTTTTCAGAAAGTGAGTGTGATACCAAAGGATTTTTTTCAAACATTTATTTTTTTAAAATTATGTGTATAAGTACATGTCTCTGTGTCAGCATGTGCACATGAATACAGGTAGCCCTAGAGTCCAGAAGAAGGTGTTAGATCTCCTGGAGCTTGAGATATAGGCAGCTGTGACCTACCCAATATGTGTGCTGAGAAATTGAGTTCATGTTGTCTACAAAGAGCAGTAGGTGCTCTTAATCACTAAGCTGAAATGCAGCCCCAGGATGTAGAGTTTTAAGTATATAATTGACCCTTTATTCTTTTTCTCATTGCTATTATTATTGCTATAGTTGGAGATTGCTTTGAAGAGTCTGATGAAAATAAAAGGGTTAAAATGTCCCCAACCAAAATGTTGGCAGATATTGTCAAGGAACTCCAGAAACTAATAAACAAGAAAACCAGTATGAGGTGGTTATTGCTTTGATCTTTGCTCCTACATGTGCCCTTCTGTTTCTATGACCCATTTAAATTTGACTTTTATGTGTGGGTTACAATATGATGTGCCTCATATCATACTTTTATGTGTGGGTTACAGTATGATGTGCTTCAACAAGCATACTGCTTGTTATGTATCCGTCACTGTCACTGTCAGTTGTATGCTTGATTGTATTTTTGCCCATGACTGGGCCTCACAAGTCTATACTAGGATTGAGATGAGTTCAAAACAAATCTGCTATTCTAATCTGTGGTTATTCCTTAAACAGTCCTACAAGGGCAGAGCAAGTATTTATCTGAGCAAGGAAAGATGGAAGTCATGATCTCCTGGATCCAATGATGTTTTGCCCATGTAAATTTTGAGAAAAGGATTTTTCCACTCTAGGGGGATAGCTCAGTCCATAAAGTACTTCCTTTGAAGGCATAAGGACCCAAGTTTGTTAGCAAGTACCCAGGCAAAAATACTGGGCATGGTAGCATGAGCTTGTGATTTCAGGGCTGGGGAGATGGTTCCAGAAGGATCCCTGTTGGTTGCTGGCAAGCCCATCTAGCTGAACTGATGAATTCCAGGCCAATGAGACACCACATCTCAGAGGAACTGGATGATATTCCTGAGGAAGACATTTGAGGTTGTCCCTCCAGCCTTCATGTGTGTATGTACCTGTACACTACACACAAACACACAGACACAGACACAGACACAGACACAGCCACAGACACAGACACAGCCACAGACACAGACACAGCCACAGACACAGACACAGCCACAGACACAGACACAGCCACAGACACAGACACAGCCACAGACACAGACACAGCCACAGACACAGACACAGCCACAGACACAGACACAGCCACAGACACAGACACAGCCACAGACACAGACACAGCCACAGACACAGACACAGCCACAGACACAGACACAGCCACAGACACAGACACAGCCACAGACACAGACACAGCCACAGACACAGACACAGCCACAGACACAGACACAGCCACAGACACAGACACAGCCACAGACACAGACACAGCCACAGACACAGACACAGCCACAGACACAGACACAGCCACAGACACAGACACAGCCACAGACACAGACACAGCCACAGACACAGACACAGCCACAGACACAGACACACACACACACGTGCATGAGAACCGGAGACAGAGACGAGAGAGAGAGAGAGAGAGAGAGAGAGAGAGAGAGTAGCAGAGAGACAAAGACACAAAGAGAGACAAAGAGACAGAGACAGAGAGAGAAAGAGAAAGAGAGAATGACCTTTACATACAAAGATCTTTTGCCAGGAAATGGTAACATGGCTGTGTGTATATGGAAAAACCGGTCTAAGCAATCAGCTTACATTTAATAGAGGGAAGACTGAGATAATGAGTAAAATAAACTTTATTGCACAAAGTCATTTAAACTTCTGCTTAAGAGCATCTGGTCCATGTCATTTCTGATATTTTCCTTCATTTTTGAAAACATTTTTAAAGTTCTCTGTCTATAGAAATTCTGATCAACTGAGTTAAAAATCAATGTATCAATGCATCAGGCTAGCCATTTCATTTTATTTTACCATGAGCTTGGAGATTTTTGCCACTTTCTGAGAGAGAATATTGAGAATACATTTGACAAATGCTCTCAGCCCATATGTAAACAGACATGCCAGGGCATTTTGTTGTGATGGTGGTTATGGTTTTGCTTTAGAATTGGCTGCTCATTTTCTCTAGACACAAAATGGGAAGATGATGTTTGAAAACAAAACATAACAACAACAACCAAAACCCTGAGCAAGAATCTTGTAATTTTAGTGTTGTTGTATGAACCTCTAATTAAACACTTTACCTCTTGGTCCTTGGTTTTAACACCAGGAAAAGAAGGGAACTCCATTTTAATAATACTTAGCAATCTTTCTGGCTGTTTTTTTTTTTTTTTTTTTTTTAAATCACCATAGCACATGTATTTTTAAGCTCTTAACTGTTTTTAACCTTTAAATTGCTAGCTTTCCAGATAATTCATTTGTCCATTTCATAGGTTAGGAGCTAGGATTTGAAGTCAGGCTTAGGAAAGCTAAGTCTGAGTTTTGACTCTACTCTTAGCCAGGACTCTGATCTGTACAACTATCCATGTAAGCTTAAGTCCTTTTCCTCCCATCTTTTCAAAGAAGGAGATAGCTTAAAAATGATCACCTAGGTTCCATTTAAAAGTATTTCTATGATTGGTTATGTAGGTCATTAGAGCCCATCAGTTCAAAAGATAATGCATGAATCAGAGGTATTTGCATTGATGATTAAAGTATTGGTAGAGGGATGGGGCATAAAGTAGAGGCTATGAGCTTGGATTTAAATTTGATGTACTTGAGCTCAAATTGAGGATCTGTCCCTCATTGTTCTTCCTTGTTAGAGAGTTTAGTACTTTGCCCAGAGTCACACTGCTTCAATTTCCTCATCAATAAAATGCTGACACTAGCAGCAAGGAGGCCCATTTAGAAGCCAATGAAGGAATTTAGAAATATTCTACACCGTGTTTATGGAAGGAGAGGACAGGATTGAAATATGCAGAGCCAAAGAAGCAACTAGCAATGGATTAGATATAAAGAAAGGGGAGGCAAAGGAGTATAAAAGATAATACTCAGAATTTTTACTTGGGCATCAAATGTCATTCAAGCTAGGATACATCAAAAGTGGTAAGAGGTTGAGAAGATGGCTCAGTGAGTAGCGCTTGCTGCAAAAGCCAGAGGACCTGAATTCAGCAGACAGGCAGATCTCTAGAGTTTGATGGCCAGCCAGCCTACTGAGTCAGTGGGGTCCAGGTTCAGTGAGAGACCCTGTCTCAAAATAGAGTAAGGTAGAGAGTGATAGAGGAAGACCTCTGGAGTTGACCTCCAGCCTTCACATACATGCACATACACAAATGCTCAAACACATAAACACATATACATACTTATACCACACACACACACAAATAAATGAATAAACAAATACAGTAGAAATTACCAACAGTGAGGGGCTGGAGAGATGGCTCAGTGATTAAAAGCACTGACTGCTATTGCAGAGGACCCAGGTTTTATTCCCACATATTTATTTATACATAGTGGTTAACAACCATCTGTCACTTCAGTTCTAGGGTATCTGATGCTTTCTTCTGACCTCCGGGAGCATTGCACAACGCAGGTGCACATACACAAATGCAGGAAATACATTCACACACATAAAATAAAAATAATAAATAAAATATTTTAAAAAAGAAATTACCAACAGGGAAATAATTCGATACATTTTATTGTGCATCCTCACAACTTTTTACAGTATTTATGCTCTTCAGGCACCTATGACTTCACAATTTGTAGCACAGTGGTTCACTGATATTAGTGGGAATGATAATTTAGTTTGTGATGCTACAACTAGTTTGATTCTACAATATGTAAAATGTGTCTTAAAATGTGTTTCTACAGCTACATGAATGTGACTGACAAATTCTTAACAAAAACTGTTTCATTACATCTGTCATTAACTAAGGCTAGAGAGGTGGCTCAGCAGTTAGGAGCACTGACTGCTCTTGCAGAAGACCCAGGTTCAATTCCCAGTACCCACATGGTGGCTAACAACTATCCATAACTCCAGTTCCAGGGGATACCCCGACACCCTCTTCTGACTTCTGGGGGCATTGCACGACACGAGTGTACTTAGATGCATGTACATAAAATAAAATAATAAATAAAATATTTTTTAAAAAATCCGTCATTGCTCTGCTTCCCTGGGCCTGAAAGACCCACCAGAGGCCTCTCTCCTACCCACAGGCCTGTCTCCGGGATAAGTCCATAGCACCCTTGGTGCCTTGACTCCCTCACCACCATTCACCCTCCCATCTCCCCTGCCACTCTCTCTTCCTAGTTTGGGCCCTGCCCTATTCCTTGTCTTGGGGCCCCAGACACCTGGGAAGCCAATACTGCTTCCTGATCTTTTTCATCCAGACCAAAAGTAGTGTCTTCTCTGGGCCTCAGGAGCACTGATTCTGGGCCTAGGCCCGCCCTCACCTCCCTCTGCTTCACTGGGTCTGCACCACCAGCCAGCCTCTTTCTGGGACACGGGGGCTGACCTTTCCTCTTCCTGATCCTTTGCATCCAGACCAACCCA